GCCCCCGCCGCAGTCGCCGCCGCCGCCACCGAGCACTTCCGGGTCATGCCACCGGCAGCTGGGGCGTGGCGCCCGCCGCCCACAGGGCCTGAGGCAACCTGGTTGGTCCCCGACTTTTCGCTAGCAGCCGAGCTTCTAAGCGTCCGGGAAGGTGCTGCAGATTCCTTTGCAAAGTTACTTGAGGTCGTTGTTTTACACAATTTCTTTTAATTTCTAGTTCACTCGGGGCCGAAGAGGGAGGGGTTCTAAAGTCACTCCTCCGGAGCCAGAGTCGGCGTGAAGCCCACCCCCACCCCCTTCCCGGTCACCCACTCTCAAGTGTTGTGGGAAACAGCTTTCCTGAGCTTCTGCAGGAAAGTTTAACTGAGGGTGCAGGTCCTCCTGAGCTGTTCGTCCCTTGGCGTGTGGGGAGCCTCTTCGCCCTCTTTTCCCAAATGGAGGGATGGCGCGGTCCACAGACGCTGGTAGCTGAGTGAGCCCAGTTGGACCGTGTTGGTGACCTCCTTTTGTACCTGCGTGCTAAAAAAAAAAAAATAGTTTAATAAATGTATTAAAGGAGGAAAAAGGAAAATGAAAGTTATTTGCCACCAGGATGTAGGGAGTAGACCACAGAAATATTTTTTAGATTTTCTATGAGTGTATTTCACTTCGTCCATCATTTGGTGTGCTTTGGACTTTGCGTGTCAATTTTGGCGATTTTTTAGAAAACCGAGACCCTGACGAAGTTTGCTCTTAATAGCCATTAACCTTGCTACAAATATTTTTTGTAAGAAAAGCTAGCTTTCTAGTTCCTTTGGATTTTGAAATGCCATATATCAGATTTCCCTTCACGCCTCTGTGATAGAGAAATCTGGGTGCCTTAGGTTCAGTTATTTTTACTTAATCCTTGAGATCTATATCTTTTAAAAACTTCTTTAAGTTCATAGTCTGTATAATATGAAATAATGTGGAGCGTTTGAAGTAGGGTTGATGGTTGTGAAAGTAAAAACCCTACATTGGTTGCAAAATTCATAAAGCATTGAATGAGAAATATAAATGAACTATATCCAGTGGATAATACTCCCTGTGGGTATTGATGTAGGAAAGAACGTCAGGGTTTGAAGCCAATGGCCAATATAGAATTCTTGAGAGGTGTTTGGTGCAAAAAGGTGATTTTATTAAAGCACAGAGACAGGACTCATGTGCAGAAAGAGCTGCAGTGGGGTCAGGAGAAGTGGCCTGTTACATGCTTTCAAGTTGGGAGGGGGTTAGGATAGGGTAAGTCTCTAAGGAATTTTGGAAGCAAGGTTTCCAGGATGTTGAGGGAGCTAACTATTGTTGGGAAAAGGTCATTTATTATGTGTAATAAAACTTTAGTCATGAGACCCTTCAGATGTATATCGGTAGGCCATATGCTTGGGGGTTGATTGCCAGCACATATCTTGGGGGTTCAGAGATAAAGGAAATTTCTTTTTTTTTAAATTTTATTTTTAGAAGATTTTATTTATTTATTTGACAGAGACACAGCAAGAGAGGGAACACAAGCAGGGAAGTGGGAGAGGGAGAAGCACGCTTCCTGCTGAGCAGGGAGCCCGATGCCAGGTTCCATCCCAGGATCCTGGGATCATGACCTGAGCCAAAGGCATACACTTAACGATTGAACCACCCAGATGCCCCAGATAAAGGAAATTTCTAGAGAAATTTTTATGTGTTAAAGTAGACTTACAGTATCGGGGGGGGGGGTTGTCAATCAGTCTAGGATTACCTTTTGCCCTTAGCAAAATATTAATATCGAGGCAGTTGAGTCCCTAGAGGAATGTCACTCTGCCTGTTTTAAGGACTTGTCAATGGGCTGTAGATAGTAAGGAAATTTAATAATTTTTCTTCTGCCTTTGTTTCCAACGTCAGGTATGTTGATAAAAGTTAGACCTGCTGTCTGGACCCTGGCCTTCTGGTTTTAAAAGAAATGAGCTAGAAGTTTCATGAAATTGTATAAAAGCAAGATGGGACAGGTTTGAATTAGTAAAATCAAACAAACTTCCACCTTTTGACAAGTTTTCAAATGAGGCAGTGAAGTGAGTGAATGTGTGTTTAGATTCCAAGGCCAAGAATTACTTCAAATATCCTAGTTACTCTTAAGAATGTGATACCAATTCTCAAATGGTCTGTGTTACATCTGATAAGTCTTCCTCTTTACTTAAAGTGTTGCATCCTTTCCTAATACAAGTGGCAAATAAATCCTGACTTTGGGGGCACCATACTCAAAAATACAATTTTTTTTTCAAAGACTAATTTTATGTTAAAAATTAGTGAGATTTTAAAACCTTAAAATATATTTAACAGGGAAAAAACCCAAACTTTATCCTTAAATCCTGAAGTAAAACTGATGATCCAGAAAGATAATTCCTCTGTATGGTTCTGTTTATGCCCTCCCCACATACATACACCCAGATGTACATACACCTTCTTTGTACTCATTTGAAAGGCATGAGTTATATGTCTCATATTTGTTTTAAGAGTTCACAACTGGTTTCACCCAATTATTAAGGAGCTACTATGTTTACAACTCAAATTTTTTAGAATTGGAGCATATTAGAACTGTGATCTAACCCCCTGATTTTGCAGATAAGGAAGTAGGTTCAAAGAAGTTCAGTATTGAAATTCATGAGACTTAATTATGGTATGAATATAAGAATAGAATATGATAAATTTAGCATGATTTGTTGAAGGACTCAAAGATTTACATTCATGGATCTGCAAAATATATTTACATTCAGGGATCTGCAAAGTAATGAAATATTGTAAATAGCTTTAGTGCCCAACGTTGGGAATTAAGTAAATTACAGTAAATCTGTAAGATGAAATACTATTTAGTCATTTAAAAGCACATTAAAACTAGAATATATACCAAATTCCTAGTGGGAGATGTATTTATAGGAGAATTTTATTTTCTAACACAAAGAACAAAGTACAATTTTTGTAATTTAAGAATTTGTAAAAGTATATGTTAATAAAAACATAGATCTGTTTGTTAGTTAACTGTTTCTTACTCATATTTTTTAGCGATGTATTGATTTTTAAATGACTTTTAGTGACCTCTAATGTATCGGTGAAAATATTTTAACAATCTACCCCTCACCCCCCAGTCATGCTTTTCGTATTTTAGAAGACTATTTGATGATGGGGAAAAAGTAGCTATGTAATGACAAAAAGAAATACCAAAACAACATACAAGACAACCCTAATTATAGATATATATATAAAATAAATTATATGTAATATCACTGTAATCACATACACATCTGTATAGTAGACAAGGAGGATGTAAACTGAAATGTTAATAGTTATCTCTGTATGATAGGATTACTAGAGATAATTAATATCTATATACATTCCTTATGTTCTTCTGGGTATTCCAAACTTTCTACAATGAAAAACCTAATATATATGTTGATGGCCTTGGTAGGAAAGAAGACAAGGTGATTTTTTTTTTTTTTTAAAGATTTTATTTATTTATTTGGCAGAGAGAGCACATGAGAGGGGGGAGGGTCAGAGGGAGAAGCAGACTCCCTGCTGAGCAGGGAGCCCGATGCGGGACTCGATCCAGGGACTCCAGG